TCGTGGAACCGCTTTATGCAGACAATCAGCAAATCGCTGAGTTGTTGATCAGTAAATGCTGTCAACGTTTTCCCGAAACCAAAACTCATCAATTATTATACCTTTGTTGGGACTCTAATAACAAGTCGATGGAAATTGCACTGAAATTGGGTTTAAAACGAAAGTGTGACCAGCCCATTTTGTTCAGTAAGCAAATAATTGATGGTAATTTGGATAACATATATTGCGTAAGCAGTCGATGCGCTCATCCTTTTTGAAAACAATAATAAAGTGTTTTAAATTACGAAATAAAGGATTTTTTGCTTAATTGTATTTATTTCAAAACCAAATTATTGTTTTTGAAATGAAATGTAATTTGATTTGTTTGAATGATCCAAACCGAGTCAATCGCCAAATCGTTCTACAATTATAAAGTATTGATTAATTATTAAGTTTTAAATAAGAGTAAATGGTGGTGAATGTAAGCCCATGTACTGACCCGATCGACAACTATTTGCTCTAACTATATGAACAGTTGCTCTAGGGTACATCAAAGCGTTTTCCTTGGGTTCACATAAGCATTACATCTAAGAAGCGGTTCATTCATATGAAGGAACAGTTTGCGCAAAACAATGAAATTATTGCCACAATTTATGGCATATTTTTAGTGGCCATCAATGATGACTACATTTGGGATGTGATTGAATATGACAAACAAGTTTGTAATTGTTTGGACAGAAGTGCAAATGCTTTTAGCACTTTATAAGTGTAATAAAAATATATATTTAGTGGTCGTTAATGTAAAGTTTATATGTTGTAAATTAATTAAAAATATAATGATAATAATATCCTCCAATTATTGGAGTCCAATACATATCTGTACCGATACTGTATTATTGTATATCATGACCATGACAAGTTTATTATTTTTATCACAATTTGATAAGAATTTAGTTGATTAGAAAACTTAATTTAAAATAAGTCCTCTATTTGTTCTCTTGAGGTGCATTCAATTTAGTTAAATGTCCTCTTATTCTATAACTAGAGGCGGTCACACTAACAGTAAAGTTATCACGACCATCAAAAGTTCTGTTTGCGTTCATTTTAATTTTACATAGACTGTACTATTATTAAATAGATTGCAGAATAAGAGTATTATTACCAGGTGCATGTATTGATATTATTGTCAATAACACATCACATAAGATATAACAGGCATTATATTTAGTGCTATATAAAGCGTATGAATCGAGAGTTTAATCAAAACTACAAATATTTAGCAAAAGTAGTAAAAAGCGAAATAATGAGCGCCAATAGGAAGCCATCATTCATTGTCCGACACTTCCAATTGTCTGATTGCGAAGAAGTCCGTCAGATCTGGAATGAACTCCATTTCATGGGAACTAAATATAACAATGAAATTATGCTTAAAACAGATCCCAAGTGTATATTTGTAGCTCAAGACATCGATTCCGGTAAATATTAAACAATTTTATTAAATTATTTTTATTTAAACCTTTAATAAGACATAAATTACAAATTGCTTTAAAATTAGGAAAACTATTGGGAATGACAAGCGGTATAAATATATCGCCAGAGTTGGCACACGTCGGTCAATATGGAGTCAAACCGGAATATCAGGGCTTAGGAATCGGTTCGGCTCTTTGGGATGAAATGATGGCACATATGGGCGATAGGAATGTATCACTTTATGCCGCGACCCCAAAAATATTTGCAAAGTATAGCATTAATTTCCCATTTGTACCGGAAAAACGCCTGGTCCATTTTAGAGGATATGTCAACACTAGTAATCTCGTTGATAGTATTGATGGCATGTCTTTAGTACCAATCGATGACAACAATATCGGAGATGTGATTGAATACGACAAAAGTGTAACCAATGGAGTTGACAGAAGGTTAATGTTTGAGGCACTCTGTAAGACCCGCGAAACTGTAAATTTGGTGGCAATCAATGAGAAAAATGAAGTCTTAGGCTATTGTGTGCTTTTTGTGTCCAATTTGAGTGATATAGTACTCGTCGAACCGCTTTATGCAGACAATCAGCAAATCGCTGAGTTGTTAATCAGTAAATGCTGTCAACGCTTTCCCGAAACCAAAACTCGTGAATTAATGTATCTATGTTGGGACTCTCATAACAAATCAATAGAAATTGCACTGAAATTGGGATTACAAAGGTCGAAAGATCAGCCCATTTTATTCAATAAGCAAATAATTGATGGTAATTTGGATAAAATATTTTGCGTGGGTAATCGCTGCGCTTATCCTTTTTAAAAACAATAAAGTGCTTTAAATTACGAATCAAACGATTTTTATTTGTATTTGTAATTGTATTTAATTAAAAACCAAATTCTTGTTTTTGATCTGAAATGGGATGTGTTCTGTTTGAATGATCCAAACCGAGTCAACCACCAAATCGTTCTACAATTATAAAGTATTGATTTATTATTATGTTTTAAATAAGAGAAAATGCTGATGAGTATGAGCCCATGTACTGACCCGATCTACATCTATTTGCTCTAAGTATAGGTGAGTTTTATTCAAAACACTAAATCTTGTGTAACCATAAGCTGACGACCGGAATGCCGACCAAAGGGCTGGCGTTGGATTGAATTCTTCAGTTTTCGATTCCATACCCTTTTGTAGTAATTTTAATAAAACACTTTAATTAGACAATAATTGTGACAAATAAAACACAAACACTTACTCCCGTTCCCGAAACTATATGAACAGTTGCTCTCGGGTTCACAAAAGCGTTTTCGTACATTGAGTTCCGGTAAGCCTTAATTCAATGAACATAATCTGATTAATCAAAAATCAAAACATTATATGTTTGCCAACCGTTTGATTATAGACGGGAAACATGCGCTCATAATAGTGTTGGTGACCCCAGAATGCGAGGTCTACTCCAAACTCATAGAGAATATCGTCGATGTCGTAAAGACTGCCTACAGTGCCGTTGCCCTCCTTTAAGAATCCAATTAATTAACAAATATTTTCATATATTCACTAAATTCACTAAAACTTTGTATTACTCTCTTGAAGAATGTCATGCCTTCCCTGCATTCAGCGAGTGCTGTGCAATACAGAGGTCTGTGTCCGTAGACTATAATCCATGGATGTCGGGCCCTATTCTCGGGTAGATTAGCCTCACGGAGGACCTGTCGGAGCCATTTCTTCTGTTGCTGAGAGACCTCTAAATCACTCATTTCTATCTCAAAGTAGACTTCAGTGTTGATGGCGACGAAGAGCGCCGGACCCAATGTGAACGTGTAGTACATGTTATTCGTGTTTTGTGGCATTTTAAACCGAGTTTCATAACTCATACCATTATCACTATAAATTTATATTAAATATATTAAGTAATGGATTTTATACTGCATATACTGATATATACCCGGGACATTTATCGTCATAACAAGTGTATTCATGGTTCCCCGGGATAACCATATAGGGAACGATTGCTGCAAATATTGTTTTATAAATTAAGAGTTAAATGTTTAAATGACATCCAAATATATACCTGCAAATGGTTGGATCGCATTCATAAACGCATCCCCTATTCTGCCATTATACTGTTAACATAAATATAATAATTTTTTAAATATTTATTATATTTATAAATAAAATTACTGTATTATAAAATTCTTACGGCATATAAATTATAGCCAATATCACCTGATAATCAAATACAAATTAATTAGAGATATTGTCAAAAGGGAATCATAGGAAGTAAATACCGATATGAATAACGGCATCAAATTTGCCGTTTTGTGAATTCTTGATCAAACTAGGGATAGCGCGACCGTTGTCTACACCCATATCACCCACGAGTGCAATACTGGGTGTCCACTGATGATCGTTTGGAACCGATACAAATTCATACGGTTTTGACCAGTGCTCGCCGTCGCCCACAATATAACCTACAATTGTTAATTGTCTACACCCATATCACCCACGAGTGCAATACTGGGTGTCCACTGATGATCGTTTGGAACCGATACAAATTCATACGGTTTTGACCAGTGCTCGCCGTCGCCCACAATATAACCTACAATTGTTATCAATTCATTATAATGTATGGCATTTGTTGTGTTTCATACAGTAGTTTGTTTGTGGAATCAAATGCTTCAACGAAACCAAATGAATGTATTGTAAGACCCCTTCGCTGTCCAATAGTTTTCTCTCTCCAATCGCTGTTTTATACGTTTGGTTGCAATAAAAGCCATACTTCACCACCGATTTGTGCGGATCCAAGCGAGTGCTCCACGCGATCACAATCTCCTGATTATTTTCTTTATCGTTACAAAATATAATATTTAAAAATTACATTATATTCAAAATATTGATAACAAGGTATAAAATGTTAGTAAATATACCGCCAAATGCTATATGGATTTGTCGGGGAATGTAACCGGCATTACGTCTGTTGCAATAAATGACTGTTAATTAATTTTGTTTGTAATTTACGATAAACTCACTCTTTGTCTAATGTTATAAAATAATATAAAATTATAGATGAAATTAGAAGTGATATGAGAATAGATATAACAAAAAGATATTTCTTATTATAATTAGTTTTATACATGTTTTTAAATAAAGATTGCGTTAAATTAACTGCGAAATGTTTTCCATGTAATCAATGATTACAGAACTTATTCACAAATATGTTTTAATATCCAATTTCAAATGTTAATTAATTACAATGTACACTATACATGCCAAATGGATAATGTTCATGTATAGGTAATGTAGATGTAGATTCGGCATATATAATGTATATAATGTACACAATAGTATTACGATATAAAGTAAATTATAATTTATGTATATTATTTAAGAATTGTATAAATCCTGCTGAAATTACTTTACTATAATTTATTTATTATAATAATTGATTGCATTTGTTTAGGTCTTAAACAAATAGATTTGTATTTTTAAATAATTGATTTAATTATTTAATTAATAACACTGTAGTCACTTTCTCTCTCATGGAATGTCATACTGGATATCATTTTGCTTTAATTTATGTAAAATATAGTTTTAAAATTGCGAATGATATACAGTATTTTATTAAAACTATATTTAATTCAATTTTGTTTGTAAGTGTTGTAGTAAATGACATAGAATAATATGCTACACAATAATTAGTTCAATGTGATCATTTTTTAAATAGTTTCAAAAGCATTAAACACAAAATAACTTAAATTATAACAAATATTTTTAACATTAAACATAAAATTAAACACAAAAACAAAAATATAATATAATGGGGAATTTTTATTTTTACTAACAATAGTTTTAATATGTTTGTATTTGAAATATAATTAAAACTATTTAATAATTTAAACTAGAATCTTTCTTTTTAAATTACTTTCTCTGTTATAATTCCAGTAAAGATATTATTAATTGATTAAAATTCACACAAATTATGATAACTAGATAAGTTAGATTTTATAATTAAATCAAACCCCATATTTCAATATAATAGGGTATTAAAGTATGAGCACAAAACCTGAATCAATAAACAATGGCTTATGAGAGATGAAGAGTTAAAAAGTTGTTATAAACTAATTATAATAACTAAATGATCAATAAATTGAATAAAACTTTTTATACTCACCTTCAAAATAGACGACAATTGTTCAAAAACAAGTCAAACGAAAGCCAAGGACAGAATGTGTGAGAGAGACTCGCTATGAAACCATTAATAAATCAATACTCGCATTCAAATGATATGCTAATTGTTAGTGAAGTTTACGATTAAATTTATACAAAACATATTGAATGAGAGAAGCGATAGATTAAAATAAACGCTTATTTTTGTGGGAATTATAATAATTGTATGGAAAAGACAGATAAGTTGAGGGAAGTGGACGAGAGTGAGGAGACGGATGACCTGAGCTGTGGGATCGGCAATTGGCGCCCGGAATGGCTCCAGAAGTACGGGTCGGCCAAAGTGTTTCTCATAAACTTTTCATTGGTGGCCATATTTCAAGGCGCGAGCTTTACGTATCTGATTGGGTCGATGACCACTCTGGAGAAGAGGTACGGCTTTGAGAGCAAAATTTCCGGTCTTATACTCATTGCCGATAATTTGAGTCAAATGATCATTAATCCATTTATTGGTTATTTGGCCACAAAATACAACCGACCAATGCTTATGGCCATCGGCGAGATTGTGGTCGCGTTGGCCTGTTTTATGTCCGCAGGTGTGCGACCTATACATCATATTATAGCTTAAATAATAGTCACAATTAATATTAATTCTCTGTTTAGCGCCATATTTCATAGTCGAAGCCAATTATGACATTTTAAATAATCGCAGCAATAATACAACAGAATTATGCGATACGAGCCGTAATGTGTCGGCAATATGTGAGGCAAATCATAAACCGGTCACCAAATGGTTAGCTGTTATCATCCTATTTGCGGCCAGTTTTGTGAACGGAATCGGATATACGGGTTAGTTGTGGCCGTTCTTAACAAATTGTTTTATTAATAAAGTATTGATAGCTTTCTATACGATTGGTTTGCCATATATTGATGATAATGCAAGTAAGAAGAGCTCACCTTTATATCTGAGTTTTACGGCAGCCTTAAGACTATTGGGTCCAGCGATTGGTTTCTTACTCTCGTAGTAGGTATGGGTAGGTATGAGTCGGGCGGGGAGGTTGGGGGCAACACAAGCACTGTTAGGGCCTAATTGATTAGATATTACTGATAATGAGTTAATATCCAATCAATATATCTATCTCTTAACTACTCTACATAATAATTAGTTCAATGTGATTATTTTTTTAATTGTTTCAAAAGCATTAAACACAAAATAACTTAAATTATAACAAATATTTTAACATTAAACATTAACACATACTGTATAATATAATTTTTAATAACAATAGCTTTAATGTGTTTGTATTTGAAATATTATTAAAAACATTTAATAACTTAAACTTTAATCTTTCCTTTTAAATTGCTTTCTCTGTTATAGTTCCAGTAAAAATATTATAAATTGATTAAAATTTATATAAATTATAATAATCAAATGATAAGTTAGATTTTATAATTAAATCAAACCCCATATAAATATATAATAAGGTATGAAAGTATGAGCACAAAACCTGAATCAATAAACAATGGATATGAGAGATGAAGAGTTAAAAAGTTGTTATAAACTAATTATAATAACTAAATGATCAATAAATTGAATAAAACTTTTTATACTCACCTTCAAAATAGACGACAATTGTTCAAAAACAAGTCAAACGAAAGCCAAGGACAGAATGTGTGAGAGAGACTCGCTATGAAAACCATTGATAAATCTGTACTCGCATTCAAATGAGATGCTAATTGTTAGTGGAGTTTACGATTAAATTTATACAAAACTTATTGAATGAGAGGAGCGATAGATTAAAATAAACGCTTATTTCTGTGGGAATTATAATAATTGTATGGAAAAGACAGATAAGAAGAGGGAAGTGGACGAGAGTGAGGAGACGGATGACCTGAGCTGTGGGATCGGCAGTTGGCGCCCGGAATGGCTCCAGAAGTACGGGTCGGCCAAAGTGTTTCTCATAAACTTTTCATTGGTGGCCATATTTCAAGGCGCGAGCTTTACGTATCTGATTGGGTCGATGACCACTTTGGAGAAGAGGTACGGCTTTGAGAGCAAAATTTCCGGTCTTATACTCATTGCCGATAATTTGAGTCAAATGATCATTAATCCGTTTATCGGTTATTTGGCCACAAAATACAACCGACCAATGCTTATGGCAATCGGCGAGATTGTGGTCGCGTTGGCCTGTTTTATGTCCGCAGGTGTGCGCTCTTATACACCATATTATGGCTTAAATAATAGTCACAATTAATATTAATTCTCTGTTTAGCGCCATATTTCATAATCGAAGCCAATTATGATATTTTTAATAATCACAGCAATAATACAATAGAATTATGCGATACGAGCCGTAATGTGTCGGCAATATGTGAGGCAAATCAGAAACCGGTCACCAAATGGTTAGCTGTTATCATCCTATTTGCAGCCAGTTTTGTGAACGGAATCGGATATACGGGTTAGTTGTGGCCGTTGTTAAAAAATTGTGTTATTAATAAATTATGAATAGCTTTCTATACGATTGGTTTGCCATATATTGATGATAATGCAAGTAAGAAGAGCTCACCTTTATATCTGAGTTTTACGGCAGCCTTAAGACTATTGGGTCCAGCGATTGGTTTCTTACTCTCGTCTTTCTGTTTAAATTTCTTTGAGAATCCTTTCGGTGAGAAAATATTTAACGTTTTATTTCATTTCATTAAAATTCTTAATATATTAAACTTTAAATTAATGTATAATTTATTAATTGAACATGGTTCTAATATTAGTCAAGTCAGACATGTCTCATACAGACCCTCAATGGATAGGCTGCTGGTGGATGGGCTTCATAATAATCGGTGTACTTTTAATAATATTTTCGATACCACTTATGATATTCCCGTCACGAATGCCAACGAACTCGACTTCAGTGTCCAAATCGACCGAAAAGGACACAATGTTTAAGTCATTAAAGAGAATATTTAGAAATCCTATATTTATGTTCAACACGTTTGGCATGTGTTTCCGATTATTAGGTTATTTGGGTTTTTATTTATTTAAGCCTAAATACATTGAGGCGCAGTTCAGAAAGTCGGCATCTGATGCCAATTTCTGGACAGGAATTATCAGTATTCCCACAATGGCTGTCGGCATATTCATTGTATGTATTCCATACATGGTGTTTTGTCATCATTATTATATTTTGTGCGAATTATTAATTACAAGTTTTTTCAATTAAAGGGTGGATTTACTTTGTCAAAAGTTCGGCCATCGGTGCGCAAAATAGTAATCTATATATTTCTAATTGAATTGTTTACAAATGTAGGCCTTATTTCACTTATGTATATCAAGTAATTACAGAATCATATGAATTAACAGCGAATTTATATAATAATGAATTTGCTTTTTTGTGTCAATTATGTATTGTGTGCAACAGATGTCCGCATCCAATCTTTCCTCAAACAGCTATTGTTAACTCCAAGTGAGAAAAAAACTTTTAAACTTGAAATAACTCCTAATCAATGTGTGTAAATATGTGTTGAATTAATTGTTTTATAGTTTAGATTTGACGGCTCAGTGTAATGACAAGTGCGGCTGTACTACGAGAGCATTTCAACCTGTCTGCGCCGACGATCATAAGTCCAACTATTTTAGCCCCTGTTATGCCGGATGTTCTCAATATGATCCACAAAAATCGGTTTACAATTAACTTGATGTTAGATTTATTTAATTTTTAAAATTTATTTTTCAATTTAAATATTGAATAGACATTTGGGGAGTGTTTGTGTGTTGGGGGCAACAGTCCTATTGTAACGACTGGCTATTGCGATAATAATTGCAATAAATTTCCCATTTATATAGCATTGTTAGGAATTGCGGGCGTTATTCAGTCCACGTCTAAGATTGGCGACACTTTAATCACTTTAAGGTTTGCCTTCAATTTATTGTCAAATCTATTTAAATGTTTTTTAAACGAGATTTTATATTATAATTATATGTTTAGATGCGTTGAAACAAGAGATAAAAATTTTGCGATGGGTATTATCGGTAGCTTTTTGGCAGTTTTTGGTAAATTTGCTTTTAATTAAGTTAAATATTGGATTACAAATTTTTAACTAACTTTTATAAAAATTTTTTATTTATAACAAACTAAAAGTATTTGTGTTAACTTATACACAAACACACAGTTTATGCATTTTAACTAAAGTAACTTTACATTAGAAATATATTGAACATGATAATTATTTGATAATATATTGTTAGCGTTAATCCCATATCCATTGGTGTTCGGGACGATCACAGACATGGCGTGTATTGTGTGGAACACGTCTTGTGGTAAGACAGGGAACTGTTGGCTCTATGACATCGACAAGTTTAGGCATGTGTTTAATCGTCCCATTTATGCAATTAATGTTTGCGTTCTCTATTAAAATGCTATTTAAGGCGTTAGTAGACAAACAATGGCAATGCAAACACAAAACTATATTTATTTGTTATTTAAATTTAGACATGTTTTACACTAAACAAAGAACTAATAAATTATTTTACACAACAAATACACAGATATTATCTGCATTTGTCGGCATTTGGCCTCATATTTATCGGAACGCTATTTATTTTTCCAATCATTTTCTACGCCAACCGTATGTCAGACCTGTTTGAAGACGACGACAGCAATGATATTAATGTTTACGAATTGGGATCTGTTAACAATGGCTACAATAGCAATGGATCAGTTGATAGCGCCAACAATAATGGCATAACTGTTGTGAAGATAATCACAACTTTGAGAGAAAATGAACGAAAGAGTAGTTTAACTGATTATGAATTGG